TTGCGTCAGCAATATTGTTTATTAAAAATTAAAGGGAGTCTGTGTCCACTAGATTCTGGCAGTATTAGAAATGGTGTGTATGTTTGAATCCTCGATCTGATATTAAAAATAGTTGTGGAATAAGCGTATTACTTTTATGAAAATAATTATTGGCTAGCAGCTGAGAGCGAAAACTACATCATATGATGTTACCGAATGAATCTTTTGGCTAAAGAGGAAATCAAATAAATCGCCTGACACATAATAACCTCAACAATTACAGGCAAATTGTAGCACTGATACAACACTACGACTAAAGTTCTGGTTCAGTGCTCAGTAGATTTTTAATTATTCGTCAATTTCTTGTTGGTGACTTATGGTTTCAAGATTGAGTGTAAGCAGGTTAATCACACTGATCACCGATGAATTGTCTTTAACCAGTTATCAGTTGCGTATTCGGTCTTCTGCTAAAAAAGGAATAATAGTGATTTGCGGTCTTTGTTAAAGGTGAAATGTCTGCCTTCAAGAAGATTTATAAAATTATTAGTTGATAAATATATAGCTAGCAAATCTTGCCAAAAAAGGCAAAAGCAAAGACTAGTCAACGTTATACTCCAGCACTGCCCCAATTGGTACAGTGGATATATTGTTGAGGTGGTTCATTTTAAAAATGCTCTTTAGGTTTTTAAGGTATGCAATTGAGATGTTTCAAATATTGATTAGTATTTTATTGAGGATAGAGAAAATTTTAGAGCTGGAACATAACGTTGAAAATATGCCAAAGGATCTAACAAACATTTTAGTTTTGTCCGTAGTCGGAGTTAGTTTCAATAAAAATTCAAAAATAAGAGATACAGATTTTACATTAGGTATTAAAAATTTTATGAAAAAACCGACATAAATCCAAATTTTTATTCATATAACTGTTATGTTATTTAGAGCAAACTCATTGAAATCGTCAGGAAGGATTATTCGCTGGTTGGGATGGTTGTTGATGGTAAAATTCATACTTTAGAATTTATATCGACAAATAAATTAACGTTGTTAAATCAATCAATTACATCGAAATGAATCTCTAACATGCAGTCAGATATGTTATCATGGTGGCAAATATTTAGTTTTCTTGCTAGTGTTATTGCTATATATGCTTTTGCGTTTTGGTGGCTTTACACCGGATTTAATGTAGCAAATATCAACCCTTTTGCTTGTTTCATGAAATGGCCTTATTCTGTGGACTTCGACTGGAGTTCAATCGTGAATTTACTTAATATTGTTACAATATGCCGCATTTAAGTTTTCTATGCATAAAAACGTTCTTCGAAGATAGACTTTAAAACTTGTTGTGAGGATTAATCGAAGACGGTGTGGATATGACAAGGTGAGGCGTGGAAATACTGTTCGCTATTCGGTCAACTTTAAGCACTTTGAGAAGAAATGTTAAGCAAATATTTTGTAGCATCAAAAATGTAAATAAAACTATATCTAGAACAATATAAACAGTTTTAAATTAGTCTAATTAGTCCAAAAAGTAATTGATATGGAAATAACTAACATTTTTATCAAGAAAAGCCGAATATATGAAAAGGTTTTATGATAAAATGTGAGAAAACAATAACTAAAAACCGGCGATAAATTTAATATACGGAAATTTTCAAAAAAAATGTGGAGGAATATTTATTTAAAAAATTAATTCTAACATCATAATTTAAAAACATCAAGGATTTCTTGATTGACGATAGTTTTGGGATTGATATTCCTTTCATACTCTAATATGTATATTAAAAATGCAATTTTTTTTTTGATTAATTTCCTACAATTATGCTGAACAAGACGAAAATACGGTGTTTATTAAAATCGAGCGTTTAATTTATTATTTGACAACGAAAAAAGGTACAATATTTGCACTTTAAAAGCTGAAATTACACATGTAATGATTTTAAATTGCATTTAAGTCGTACCTTCAATCTTTTCATCGCTTTGATTACATGCAAGGATATGTAATCTTCTTATTTCTAAGACTAATGCATAGGAATTGAAACCTAAGTGTTACAGAAAAGTATATTATACATAAATGTTATTGTTGTTTGTATTAAATTTTATATTAAATATTATTTATTCTGCATTTTTGTGAGTGAATTTCATTGATTTACATTTAATTTTTTCATATTAAAGCAGCAAGACGACAAGAAATTATAAAAATTACTGAACAACTTATCGAGGCTATTAATAGTGGAGATTTTGATGCATATACGTAAGTATTATCTTATACATTTCCGCGAATCATGCACTGTTAATCATTTTATGTGAAACGATTAATTCATCTCAACATATGGAACGATTACATTTTTTTTTTTAAATACATTACATTTATTTATGAAATTTTTTCTCCTTAAGATTAACAATAAGTATTTAAATGTTAAAACTATTTACTACATTTTAAAATTAAGTTTCATTTCCTTCGATTTAAAAGGTTGAGTTGCCTAACAGTTAGGCTTGTGCTTAACAATAAAAACAGTGGTTAATCAGTGAAAATGGTTTTATTGTTTTTCAAAGTATTCTCTATTATGATCAATATATTTTTGCATTTGATTGAACCAATTTTCGAAACAGTTTTGCCACTCTGAAGTTGGTGTCTCCAAAAAAGGTTTTGAATGTCTTAACTTGGGGCGTAGTAAAACGCTCGTCACGCATTATTTTCAAAATGTTTACGAACAAGAAAAAGGCATTGGATACCAAATCGGAGCTGTATGGCGGATAACCCATAAATTCGGCGTTTTAAGTGCTGAAGAACTCTTTTGTTTAAGCTGATGTGTGGGAGCTCTCATTGTCGTTGTGAAAAATGATTTTCTTTCGACAGCTGGTATTCCTCAATTCTCAAAAAACTTTGGACACACAAATGGTTGTGTACCACTCAGAATTTACCGTTCTCCGTTGTTTCAGTGGTACAGTTGCATCATGACCTGGTTTTCTGAAAAAATATGCAACTATTCGCTTGGATTTGCTCCGTCTGTGGACAAATTTGTCGGTTTCTGACACTTTGAAAGACCCAAACAGTGAAGTTTTGTTTCGAGCTTATAGGCATAGATATGTGATTCGTCACCTGTTACGATGTCGTAGACGTATTTTGAACTACCTCGGCCTTATTTTTTTTACCATAGTCTTATACAAATTAACATGTGCCTGCTTCTCAGCGATTATCAAATTATGAAAAATCTAACGGGAACAAATCTTTCTGACAGCTAAATGTATATGTAGAATTGAATGTTTACTGGTCGCACTAATACCCATGGGTACCTCCATTTCCCAGTTTTGGTCAACCTCATCTGAAGCTATAAAAATTAAAATTATAATGTTAATCAGTCCTTGATAAATTAATCTGTTTTTTGTGATTCTTCGTCTTCAACATCGTAATAATTTTTAGTAACGATAGATACTATAGTGATTGCACATTACATAAAATAATTATATAAACATTTATAAAATGGTCCAAAAATGCACCAGTTATAGCAACGATCTATTTCAACTGTAGTGAAAACTTGCAGGGACATGTAACCTTCCTTTAAATTATAACCTTCTACTCGCATCATAAAAATAATGTAGATTTATACCATTGCATTTTACAACACCTGTCAACGAATAACAGGACATTTCTCTCTTCTTTTGCAAGTTACTTGTCCAGTTACAAGTGGATTATAACCACTTCTTGTATAAGTCATTTTTTATCCATAATTTTTTTATGCTTTTCATTTTCAGTAAGTGGTTTCTTCTTTAGCAGCGTGGGTTTCTGAACTTCCCAATAATTAGTAGCTTCAACTAATTGGTGACATTTTACCCCCCATAATAGTTATTTTACCCTTATTTTTCTTTTTTGATTTCTGAAAATGAGAGTACAAGGCAGAAAAATCTTAATACAGCAGTCATTATGCTATAGATATTATTACTATAGTCTTCAATTAACCATGGTAGAACATTTTTGATCCAATTATCAGAAATCTCCAAATATATGTCACCAGCAACCGCAAACGTTGTTTTTAAAAAATGTTTCTTTAATTTTTTCTAACCAGACATTACTTGGTGCAAAGTATGCAGGAACTAACGCTTTTGGAAACTCTTTCTGCATTGTTTCTTTCTTTTTGCTCTTTCTTGCACAAGTGGTCTAGATATGGGAAGATTTGTGTGGTTGTAGCTATTACCTAGCTACATATATAGGTGCTTATGCTTGTATCTATATACCATATATACAATTACATCTCATTTTTTAATCCGATTTCTGTGCGTGATTCCTAGTTGCGCGATCCAGAATGTTTTTTTTTATTATTAACAATGGTCGGAAGCCTGTTAGTAGGTATTCCATATTCACTCGCAACATATTTATATCCTTTAGTGCCCTTTTAGATCTCAACATTTAAACTTAATTGTTCAATAATTGCAAAGGAACTTCATTTTGCCCAAACGTCTTAGCGAGACAAGGACAAGTTCCAGTTTTTACTTCACTGAGAGCTTTTTTTGTACTTTGACAGCACTTGCCAGCTAGGAATTAGTGGAAAATTTTTTCTGAAACTGTCCTTTGGGAATAGCTATACCTTTAGCTATAGCATTGATGTTTTTAGAAGATCAAAGTACTTACAAGGACAGATATGATGTAGAGAAATATGGTAATACATTTTAAATTGTTTTAGCAATCTTTTCTATATTCCTTTGTAATTTAAAAATATTACCTCCATAAAATATTTCGCCAACTAGAAACTATTTAAACTAATATCAATAAGTAGTTGTTCTTACAGCTAGAAGATGTAATATGAATTTTTATTTAACGTAAAATAACTGACAAATAAGAGGAATTAGGCAGACCATAGCTAATATTCAAATATTTACAAATGTCTATATCTAATATATGACCCAAGTTGCTATTTCCATAATAGTACACTTGTTTTTTTGATTATAGAGTAGTGACTGCAGTCTTTTTTTATCACAACTGCTGTTCCACCACGAAGTTGTGATATTATTTAGTTACAACTTTTAAATAGCGGCTATTTGATAGATTAGAGAAAGATGAGAAAGATAGAAACAGATGGCCATGTCCTTAAGCAGTGATACTTGAAAATATAAAAATCATTTGTTTATAGATCTTGTTTAATTTCTTCGTAATACAAACCATTCAAACCGTGAATTACTAGATTAATGCACTTCTCTTCAGAAAAAATGTAAGTACGATATTAAGGTTTCATCTCAGTGGGACCTATTTGCACGGCAAGATGGACTCTTTTATCAGATTCCATTTTATTTCTTTATGGTTAGTGAATTTTATTACTGAATTATTTTTCAATCTCCCTTAGGACAACAGGAATTTTTTAAACCTTTAAGGTTACTTGATGTTCTTCAGTTGTAAATATTTCAAAATCTTGTCATTTGTAAATGATTTCGCGTTCGGCATTCTTCTTAAATTTACAGTTAAGATTTTTAGAGTTTCTTAAAAATACGTAATTATGTTACTCTAAAAATATGTATTTTAAGCAATATTATTTATCAGAACCTATATTATTCTTTTTTTTTTTGTTATCGTTATAGTAAAATATGTGATCCCCATTTAACTGCATTTGAACCTGAAGCATTGGGAAACCTAGTTGAGGGGATTGATTTCCATAAATTTTATTTTGAAAATGGTATGTAAAAATATATTGTAATGAAAAATATTATAAAAAAATACATTTTAGTACTTGGGAAAAACTGTAAAGCCATCAATACCACAATATTGAATCCACATGTACACTTGCTTGGAGATGATGCTGCATGTATTGCATATGTACGTCTAACACAATATATCGATAAGTAAGTAAATATTATAAATTTTATGTTTAAATTCTAATATTATAGGATAGCCTTCCCCACAAAGGAATTGATAATTATAACATAAAAACCCTCAGAAAAACATAAACGTCCTGTTATAAACCATATCTGTGTAGAATACTTGAATATCAGAGATAATAGTTCTGTGTAGAAATTGCTAGACACTTTTGTTAAACGGTTTTTCAGAAAAGCAATTTTTTAAAACAACTAAGTTTACAAATATAGGTAACAATTTTTAGTAACAAACAATAATATCTAAGAGAATCGATAGATAATACGTACAAAATTTTTTAAAAAAAATTAATAAAACGCAAAACGCAAAAAACAGTAACAAGTAGCAAGTATGATTCACTAAAAGGAACTCTCAGGGAGATCTGGTCTAATCGGCGTTAGAAACGGAAAATTTAGTCCTTTCCATGACACGTCGTCTGTAAGCAGTCATAGAAACTCGTAGCAGTCCAACAAAATATTAAAAGTTTTATATTTTGCTGAAAATTTTGTCAATTTTTATGGTTTACATACGATTTTTATTATTATTATTTTATGCTTGCAATAAATTAAATATTGTTTGTTTTTATTTTTAAAAATTTATAAAATAAAGTAAAACTGCATACTCACAATTTTAGTGACATGTTTATTTTTCTTTAAACTCTGTATTTTAAGGGTATATTTAAACTGTTGTCCTTGATTGTATATTGTAATGGAATATAATGTCGCAGAAGAATTGGCGAATGCCGTCATTAATCCGACATAATATAAGAGATAGTAATTATTAAGTAACAATCGCGATAAAGTTGGGGAAATAACAATTCACATGGAGGTTCGCTACTACGCACCGAATCTCGTACATAATATCTTTTTTTTTAAACAAATATGAAAATGACAGCAAATGCATACAGTATTTTTCTATACAAAATTAAACTAATAAATTGTAATGTACTAATAAGCTAGATAAAAAAAAGAGATTTATATATTATCTGTCTTATATACTCGGATAAAGTACCAAATAACTGCTTAGCGCAATATCGTAAATAAAGCTCAAGTATCATAAGACATTCTTTGCGTAGTATCGACAATTTAACAAAGATAAAAATTTATTGTATTTCAATAGTTAGATATTTTAGTAGTGTGGAAAAAAATAATCTAATAATTATAGTATTTGTCTACTTTTTTCTTACTATTTGAGTGTAGTCTTCGTTTTTGAAAGTTAATCAATTTAACAACTTGCTGTGTTGACTCTAGTGATAAAACAGAATGGTACACAGACTATCGGGTCATCGGTTAGTAATAAAGATACAATTTGTTTAAAGTGTTGAACTAATGAATTAACTTCCGAAGTAAATGTTCTTTAATGGGAAGCACACCATATTTGTGTAAATATATATTCCAAAATTATAACCATAATATATAGGATTTTCCGCAAATATTCGCATGTCTCTTAATCATAAGAAATTCTCATTTTGGGTACTTTTTCGTTAATATTAGGCAAGGTCATGCACATACACACCAGTCAGAAGAAACTCGAGTTTGGCATAAGCGGGACAACAAATGGCAAAATGTTCATTTCCATAGAAGCGCATCTGCCAAAATAAGTGGAGCAACGACATTTGATTTTATACTTCAAAAGTGAAAGTAGGTGCCATCATTTGACTACAAGGAGCGGAAATGCAGTCAATAATGTTAGTGGATACAGCTATTAACAAAGTTTATACAAAAAAGCACAATTTCAAATAAATATTGAACTAGCTAAAAAGTTAAGCATTCAAACTACATATTTGCAAAAAGATTTCAATTTATTTAAATATCGTAATAGTGAATTATTGAAAAGTACTATTAATCATAACACTAAAAATCATCATTCGTTAAACATATAAAAATAGAGATAAATTTAATTATAATAATATTAATTCAAAATAAAAATAGTAAAAAATTTAAAAAGTGAATTTAACTTGCAATTTTTAATAGAAAATTAATAATATATGTATAGTTTTACGGGATAATATATACTAATTTTTTCTTGTCTAAATATATAAAAATGTTTACACAATAAACTGTAAAATCTTTGAATTCGATAATTGGAAAAATAAAAACTAGTTAAATATTAACAAGCTATAAAAAATATGTGCAATGATTTATTTATGTAATTGTTTTTATATATAAAATACTGTAATTATACTAGACGATATGGGTCTAAAAATAATTAATATATTAAGCATGCAAAATTTCCATCATTTTATCACATACTCCAACTCTAACATAAGCTAAAAAGTTTATATATAAAACATAATATGTCAAAAAATCTTTTTCAAATAACTAGCTCCTTCATAGTTATATGGAATTACACAAATATTTTAATACTTATGAAAAACAGCAACAATTATTTGTGGAAATACGGCAGCGCAAAAATATATAATCCCTTTAACCAATTTCATCCCAATCATTCGGTTTTTCGAAAAGCAATTGATTTACCAACTTTTGCATTTAGTTATCGATATTATTGATATATTAAAATTAACTTCTAGTAAAATAGAACAAAATGGATTAAGTGTTCCAAATAAAGAATCCTTACAAGAACTTATCAAAGTTTTATATAAAAAAAACTAAGACAAGCATCTGTATTTTGCAGCCAACAAAACAAAAATAATATGCCAAACAATTTTTTTTAATTTTTGTTTTCATACTAACAATACTAATATTAGTAAGTTAGTATGATATTATACTAATATGTTTGAAGATCAAATAGTCAAGAAAAATTACTTTTTGATAGAAATTTCAAGATATTTTTTGCTTGGGATGAAATGTAATGGGTACATGTAAACAATTTTTATAGATTATTAATTGTTTTAAAAATGATTGTGAACGTGCAAATATAAAAGTTTATATATATGAGAAAAAAATACTTATAACATTTTACAAATTTCAAAAAAACGCATTACATAATACATATACATTAAGAATTACTCTAAACTTTCAAGCCATTAAAAAATGAATAATATATAAATATAATTGCTATACAACATTCTCGCCATGATTGATAAGCTGCTTTAAGTCTAAAATACCCAAGGCTTGTTTATATATATTTATCACTAAACCCTGATTTCTTTAAGATACCCGTTTGATATCTTT